GAAGAATAAGTTACATAAAACATAAACTATTACATTTTAGTCATGGCATCTACAAAGTTCAACACAATGCAATAATTTGCAGTTAAAAGGCCTTTTTTTCACCCAATCAAACTCAGCTGTCATAGGGGTTGAGACAAAGGCAGAAATTCGAATTTTTTAAATAGCTTTTTGTTTCATTTTCACAGATAAATTGATGTTGAATATCTTCTCAACTAAACATAAAAAAAATGTAAAATACTAGACCATCACCAATCAGAATTCGAGAAATATAGTATGTGGTATTTTAGATTAATTTGTTTTGTTTTTCAGGCATATTTAAACCAATAAAATTCAGCGATTAACCTTTTTTCAAAACAAGTTTGTAAAGATAACTTAGCGCATATTTCAATTCTGAAACAATGTAGAGATTAAGCAGCAAATTAAAAATTAAGATTTATCTTACTTAGAAAACCATGGAGTAATTTTTTTGTCATTCCAGATAAATTCTCCTCGTGGAGATTCCACACCAGGTGGTAAAAGAGCACAATATACAGAAGCTTCAGCACCTATTAGTTCATAATACATAACAATTAATACATAGACAATTATAATCAATAAATAATACAATAACAATAACTGCATAAAATAAGACTGCATTATAAATAAGACTGCATTATAAATAAATTTTGCAACAAAAAATTTAAAAATTTTGTTAAAAAAATAATTAAGTATACAAAGAAAAAGAGAAAAGCAGGAAGAAAATTAAAAAAAAGGTAAACATACTTTAATTTATTAATATTTTCAATAAACTAAAGCAAAATTGCATAAACTACTCAAAGTAAAAAGAAGAAAAATATTAAGCTTTTTTCAGTTGTATTTTATTATTAAAACCAGTAAAAAAAATATTGGGAAAAAATTAAAAACAATGAGGGAAATCAATTTACCTTGATCGGGCGTTAAATGACCTTTGTGACTAGACATATCTGTATCAACATACCCAGGATGAACCTACAAAATTATTGAAAATTTACTAAGATTATCAAAAAATATATAAAGAATTATTAAAAACTTATGAGAAGCTAACCGAGAAAAAGAGATTTTGAAAATCAACACTTTCAAAAGTAAATGATACAGAATCTGTGCGTTAATATAAATAACTTATATTAAATGCATGATATATTTTTGTTTTTAAATTTTCATACTTAATGTTAACAGTTGTATTTTACTAT